TTTTATTATGAACATATTAGAAGAACGTAATTTGATTGTTAGTTTATCTTGTTATTCAGAAATAAAAAGGACTGTATGGAAAGGGTTACCCCAAGGGTCAGTCCTTAGCCCTTTGCTATACAATATCTATACACATGATTTGGATTCTTGCTTCGATAATCATATAAAGCTTTTACAATATGCGGATGATTTGTTATTATATTCAACAAACCGATCAGTTGAGATAGCTGCGTCACATATTGAGTTGGCCTTGATTTCATTACACTCCTGGATGCTTACCAATGGCTTAGATTTATCTGCATCCAAAAGTACAATCGTAGTTTTTTCAAGAATGAGGAATCCCCCTTTAATTAGAGTTCATTATAATAACTTGCCTATACCAGTTGAATCACAAGCTAAGTTTTTAGGTGTGATATTAGATTCCAAGCTCTCCGGTCGCTCCCATATAGATTACATTATCAAGAAAACTGAACGACTATTGAATCTTCTTCGATGTCTCTCCGGTGTCTGGTGGGGGGCTCACCCTCAATCGCTCAAATTGGTTTATAACGCGCTAATTCGAAGTGTATTGGATTATGGTACTTTCCTTTTAGAACCTGCCAGCTTAATTTCGTTAAAAAAATTAGACGGTATTCAATCAAAAGCACTTAGAATTATAACTGGTGCTATGAGCTCAAGCCCAATCAATGCTTTACAAATCGAAACTTGTGAACCCCCACTCAGTATTAGACGACAATTTCTTTCAGATCGATTTTTGTTCCGATCTCTTCAATTCTCCGACCATCCTCTTTTCCACCTACTTAACTCTCTGAACAATGAAATAACTACAGCTAGCTATTGGTCTCATAAACAACTGCCCTGTTTAATAGTAAGCTATCAAAAATACTTGAGCCTCCATTCACCTATACATCGGTCAAATCGTCTTCCAGTGTTTAATATAGATTATGACGCCTTGCTAATTTCACCATCTGTAAGGTACGATCTGATAGATAAACATAACGCTAAAACCTTTAAATCAATTATAGATTCCGAATACGAAAATTACCATCATATATACAGTGATGCTTCTAAGTCTTCCTCTTCTGAATGTACGGGCATAGGAGTCTACCACTCTCAGTTTTCCATTGTGCAGAAAAGTAAACTTCCTCCGGAGACATCTGTATTTACGGGGGAATGCCTTGGCTTACTAAAAGCTGTCGAGTATGTCGTTCTCATGAAACTAAATAAATCAATAATATTTTCTGATTCAAGGAGTGCTTTACAAGCTATTGATAATTTTCCATTCCGTACAAGATTATATAACCCACTTGTGTTTGATATAAGAAATAATCTTTATAAATGTGTTAAAAAAGGGTATCTGGTAGAATTTGTGTGGCTTCCAAGTCACGTGGGAATTCAAGGTAATGAGAAGTCTGATCAATTAGCAAAAGAGGCAGTACATTGTGGAGACATGTTTCCTTTTAAAAATTATACCCATGACTTGTTGTTGCTGCCGTTGTGTCATTTGCATAAGGAGTGGCAAACTTACTGGACAAATAGTGGACAAGTAAAGGGAAAACATTATTATCAAATACAACCTAAAATTATGATGAAACCGTGGTTCCGTAAAATTAAGATCAGTAAGACTGCTACTAGTATTTTAATACGCTCGAGAATTGGTCATGTTAGTACACCAGCACATCTTACCAAGCTGGGAATTGTTAGTGATGCTTCCTGTAGGTGTGGGTCAGACTACTGTGATCTTAACCACATATTGTTTTCTTGTACACTGTACGATCGATCCGAATTCCTTAAAGATCTCATTTCCTTACGTGTTTCCTTTCCCACATCCATAGTTTCTTTGCTCTCGTCTAATAACATATCAGTATATCAATGCATAGCGTCTTTTATAATGTCAAATAATATTAAAGTCTAAATATCGTTATTACTTTTTATGTATGTTATATAACGTATATATTCTATATATATTAATATTTTCGTTTCCTGATCCTATTGCTAAAAACCTGTCGCAAATCCTATCCTTTTTCCTACCATCGTTTCCCTACCTTTGACACTGGCAAATACACAAACCGTGTGACGCCAAAAGGAAAAAAAAAAAAAAAAAAAAAAAAAAATCTGTCGCTTCGTAGCCAATAGCTTAATGCAGCTTTTTATAATAGTCATCATTACAGACTGCTAGTACCTAATTAATTATACAGTTTTTGACACGCATTTTGTCTCATCCCATCATCTGATCTTATTCTTCTCATTGGATGTAATTAAATAGAGAGGAACATTCCGTTGGGATGACGCTCATTCTTAACATCTTCACAATGGTTATAAATTCGATTTATTGATGCAGAAAGTCGATTACATAATACACATTCGGCTATAGCGATGCAATTCAAGATCACGGGCAAGCAGTTCGTGAACCTGATGTAATTTATTTATAACGCCGCCGCTTAGTTAATTAGTAGAGAGATCTCTCTCAACTCAATCAACAGAATGAGTTATTGCATGGGCGCACCGGAGGAGTGACAAAATGTGTCTACAGAGTTCTCATACTCGTCACGCTACGCGTGCTGCGACTCTAATCTCCAAGAAACTTAATTTTTTTCTAGATAATCTAATTTCTTTATAACGTTAACTATAATTTTTATAGAAAAATAAATCTAAACAGAAAGTGAATTTAGTTAACCTAAAAATAGACGTCCATTGCCGAAACAAAATATTTATACTTACCACCTATGTTCTGTGATACTTACACAGACCAAAGAACACACTATCGTAATATTTTAACAAACCATTTGAAAAATTCCACAAACAACATTACCTAAATAATTAACCTACTTTATAAAATTTCGGCAATATATTACTTTTGAAATTCTAGTTGTGACCTGAATACCTACTTAATCACGATCATTTTTGCAAGATGATGACCATTATCTACAAAAAATTGTTAAATTGTATTGACAATGACAGCGGTTCCCAAACTTTTTTGGAGAACCCTTTATGATACTAAATAATAACACTTCTTACTTCATTCTAATTCTTGTATATTGAGTAATGATATATGCTAAAGTTATGGCCATATTCTCAAGTAATTACTCCTCTCAACTATAGATACGCCAGTAAGTATTTTTCATAGATATTGATTTTATTCACACAAAAATAAAATTTGTGTATGAATAAAAGCAACGAGTTTGGAAACCAGTTTCCTACACAAATCTTGTTGTAAGTACCATAGATAGCTTCTAATTGTACGAAGGTGTGTCAAATATAGAAAATATTTTAATGCTCGTTTATATTATATATGGTACAAGAACACCGTCAATTACTCTATCACGTCAATATTTACGCTCAACCGCTCATATAGTTTATTTTTGTCCCTGCACTTGCTTGACACCTGTTAAAACTGCCGTTCCTTCTCATTAAAATATAGATGTAGTGCTGCTTTATAAATACCACTTACTTTAACGGTGATCTGTTAAAGTAAGTAGTATTTATCTATATATTGTAATACTTGTACCTATAGACTTGGGAGCGCCTCTTCACGAGGGACTTAGGAGTGCAAACTTAATATTTTTTTTCAATCGATTATTATCATCATCAGCCTATTAATGTCCCGTAACTGCTGAGGCGCAGGCCTTCTCTATGGATGGAATTGAGTAGGGAGGCATGGCCATGACCCGACCACTATGGCCCATTGCGGATTGGTTGATATTATCGACTGCAAATAATTATAATTTTAATGACCGCAAATGCATACGGGACCAACGGAGTAACTTGCCTTCCGTAGCACGAAGGAACTCGAGATAATAAATTTTGGTCACCCATCCTACGACAGGCCTTTGCGAAAGTTGATTAACGTCCGCATCGCAGACCGAACGCACTAACCACTGCGCTTCGATATTTATAATTTTATTGAATTGTTAAAGTAAGTTAAGTTATAAAGTTTATCACATTATTCTAACTAGTTCATTGTGTACTTTAATATCTACATTTTTAAAAAGAATGTAAATATATCAACTCATAAAGTTATTCCGTAGGTATTAATCACTACAATTTAATATCAAAATAACCTCATGACATGACACAGAGATTATATACCTACATATGTCGGATAATGACGACGAAACAGCCGGCTCTAAGACAACAATAAAGAGGTTTCTTTTGTATTTAACTATTTTATTAATTCTTTGAGGGCGAAAGGAAACACTAGCAAATGCTTATATGATCATTCTTTAAAAATTCTTAAATTTCCAACTTATCACGTGACCTATATGATAACTTGATTGTTAGTCCGCTTGTGTTATGGGTGTGTACGTTAATCGCGAAGAAATAAGGAGTTTATTTTTAGTTTTATTTATTAGTCCTGTATCTGTATGAATTACAGATAGTCGCCCAATTGGTCGGCTGATTATACAACTTGGCTGCGACATATACAAAATGTCACTTGTTCCCAGAAAGTCAATCTTTTAAATGGGTGCTTTAACTTACGATTGATTAGATCCCTTTCGAGTAAATTATAGACATATTTAAAAATACAAAAAGAACTATTTTTAGATCAAATAGCTAAAAATAACATCACTACTATTTAAAAACCTACACTTATTCATGTCTCTATTTATGATTATAGTACAGAAATAAAATTAAATTTTTACTTATATATATTATAAATTGGAAAATGGTAATTAAAAAAATGTATCCGAAAAATCTATCACACTCTTAGAGGAAATGCTCAACACCTCACAAGATATGGTTGACCTAGTTCAGAAGCGCCATTTATATAATGCTCTTCGATAAGATAGGCCGATTATACATATGTGTAGATGAAATTACATTATCTGAGAACCAATATAGTTATCATCATTGTCTATGTTTATATTAAAAAAATATAACTTATTTGAAAACTTTCCACCAGTTCATGCTTTTAAAAATATATTATACAGGCGCTACGCAAACGTAGACAAGAAACCTTCTGTAACCATTTGTTCAAGATGATTTTTGTTTTGTTTCAGATTTCGCTTGGCTGAAAATAGAAGTGCCTCGAAACCCTTAATTTTACTGTAAGTAAACCTTACTTATATATTTGTTTAGTATTATTTTATACGATATTTTTAATGTTCAATATCTTCTCATTTACAAAATCATCGCCGTACTCGAAGTCGAGTTTAGAACTGTTGTAAGCAGCCCTGCCCTCGCTAGTCTTATGATACCTACCCCGTTCGATCTAATTAGTGCTATTTTCACTATCTCTTGACCAATTGATATCTCACAGCAATATGATAAAAACAGGAATTTGATCAAATCACTAGATTTTTTTTAAATTAGGTAAGTACGTAGTTTTTGATTGTATCACAATTTGCTATTTTAAATAAGAAATATGTCAAATTGTTTTGTACCTATCTATATATCATTTATAAAATAACCTATTTAAAATACTTGAACTTTTTATTATTTTGATAAACGACGATGCAAATAACTTGAATTGTTGTATGTAGTTACGCGGTATGACTAGCCGCTAGCTAGTCATACCGCGTAACTACATGCAACAAATCGGGACGCTAGCTGCTAGCGTTCCGTCAGCGGCTTCGCGTTCGTGATCCCAAAGTAATCTGTTTAGTGAGATACAAAACCGGCCAAGTCGGACTCGCGCACGAAAGGTTCTGTACCGGAAACGAACAACAAAAACACAAGTGTTATATAGGAGCTTAAATTTTTATTTTATTCTGGTTTTTAGTTTATATATTTGTTGTTGAAACGGCAACAGAAATACATCATCAATGAAAATTTCAACTGTCTAACTTTCACGGTTCATGAGTTATGGCTTGGTGACAGGCAGACAGCGAAGTCTTAGTAATAGGTTTCCCGTTTTACCCTTTGGGTACAGAACCCCTTAAAAGTAGCCTATACATTAATTCAGATTTAGAATTATCTATTCGTATACAAAATTTAATAAAAATCCGCCTGTACATAGGTTTTGTGTGAAAAAGTGATAAACATAGATTAATAGGATATAACTTATAGTTGAAAAAACACGCAAATACATCATACAAATTTTAATCAGTCCTACTATTATACCTGTGTTACCCGCTTTTTTGAATAGGGCATTTGACACTTTTCTGAAAACTATTTTAAATCGTTGTTTGCTACATTATAAACACACTGTCATAATATTTCATTGGAATATTTTCTACTTTTGGTGAAAATAATTGTTCAAATTTAAATAGACAAAAGCGCGCGAAAAACGCTGCTCTATGTAATGGCACTAATCATGACGTCACAGGCCAGTAAATATGTCAAATCGATAAGTAACAACTGTCTTTAGAGTAAATTGAAATAATAATTTAAAAGAGAAATTGAAGTTGTAGTGCGTATTTTTTACGTATTTTATTTTCCTCTGCTCTGGTTTTCTTTAAAAAATGAGCCACAAGTGGTGCGTAGTGCCAAAATGTACTAATACATAAATAACAAACTTCGAGTCTAGAAGAAAATAGATTCACAATCACAATAGTATAGTACCTATATAGAGTAGAGATGGGTGACAAAATTAGGTAAGGATTCGCTAAAAGTATTGAAACTTTTTTATTTCATATCGATACATTTGAAGGTTTTCTTTTTGGTTTTTTCTTTGTCATAAACATTTTACGACTCATTTATATTTGTTGACAGGGTCGTACTTTACAGCCTGTCGACCTACAGATGAAAGAGACATTAGTACAATAAAGAATGTTCTATTTTTTTTATACATGAATGTAGTATGTCTGTCCACTAATACATGGCATTTGATAATTAGATATCAGATCCCGATGATTTTTTTAAATTAATTTTTAACTTGGAGAACAGTATATATCATCAAAATCGACTTTGTAATTTTGACTGGGTAAAAAAAACACAATTCTATTTAGTCCGTCAGTCAGGTAATAGAAAAATATTAGATACGTATTTTTTTTTACTTCAATTTTGATATTTTAAAAAGCTTAGTAAATGATTCTTTCTTTCTGTATTTGATTCTTGATTCTTTGTTTCTTTTTGGCAGTTCTTATCAGTAGAAGCGGCAAAGTATTCTGTTATTTTACTAAATCTAAACATGTTTTTTCTGCAGATGTTAAGAAATAAGCTTTATTAAATTATTATCTATCAGGATGACCACAAAATACAACTTATTTTCGATAGTGTCAAATACCCTATTGATATCATGCCACATGCCAGGAACAAAATATAACATAACTTGTAACGCCATCTATCCTGTTCTAGAAAAGTCATTCATTCCAAATTTAGACCCCTAAAGTCATTCTAAAGATTGGGTTAAAAGGTAGAATTTATTTTCTATTCTTTACTCAAGATGCGGAGGCATGTAATTTTTTTATTTATATTATTAAAACGGAGACCTACGGTATATATATGGGGTGCAACCACTTAGTCGAAATTACATTACGTAACTAGTTGCATGAAATCATAACACGTACGGACAAGGATTACGTAATACTATTTCATTAGCATATTTGTGATTTAAACGCAATTTCCAATTTAATTAATTTTAATAAAATATATGGGGATGTCAAGGTACATTAGAATCATAGATTGGAACAGTATGCAAATCGTTACCATAAATGGCAACACCTGAACAGTCACGTCAATCTGCAGTTCTTCATTCACTTCATTTCTTAACTCAATAAACAGTGATTCATTCATTCATTCAGTCTCCATCGCAATCTCTGAGAATTTGGTTTGATAACCTATTCTTAATTAGATTTTTAAAAATGCTAATTATTTAAGAGTAATATTAGATTAAACTAATAAAAAAGTAACTTAATAAAATGTTGCATTAAAACAATAACGTCAGTGCTGCCTTTTAAAGTTTAAGTACTGTATTAACTTGTGTTAAGTCTAAAATAACTATTCGACTTAATTTCAATGCATAATTTGTTTATATTAATTAATATTTCTTATGAATGGACAGGAAACACCACAATGGCGCTAATACTGCAATATTTAGACGACATGCACGTTTTTATGGACAAACATGGAGGTAAGTTATTTTATTTGCCTCTAGAATTTTAATGCCAATAAGAATTGTTATTTTTAGCAATTTTTAAAATTCACAATGCTTTCTTATTATTTATCCCAAAAATTCTTATAAAAAATCTGCCTGACTAGTACCTGGGACAATTCTTTATTTGAATAACTTGTATGATAAATCCTAATAAGAATTCTTAAAAAAATAGACAGTCTTCGGACTGCTCGAACTACCTATCCAAATCTCAGAATTACATAATAGCAACCTTTTTGATTAAATATATTTTTTAAATATTTTTTCAGACCCAAGAACAAATCCGTGGTTCCTGATGAGCTCACCATTACCTACTTTAATAATATGCTTAAGTTATGTATATCTAGTCAAGGTAAGAATAAAATAAAATAAATATACACTAATATTTTATACTATATTTTTGCAATCCCTAGAAGTTACATTATATTGCTAAATATTTTAAAATGTATCTGTTTATAAAATATATTATTTAAATTAGAGATTGGAGATGTTATTTAATCATTAAAAATATAGTATATTGTATTAAACTTCCCCAGTTAAGATACAGTCTCTCTTAATTTTTTTATGTAATCTTAAGGTCCTGTGCTACCTAATTCACTTGCTTATTTTAATTGTTGTTATATAATTTTATCTCTTACAGGTTTTAGGTCCAAGGTTTATGGAAAATAGAAAACCATATGAATTAAAAAATGTTTTAATAGTATACAACTTCCTACAAGTGTTATTCAGTGCATGGTTATTTTATGAGGTATGATCTTTTTACTTAATTATCAATTGAATTAGAATATTTGTTAATCAGTGTACTTGTTAATATTAGATAAAATTTCGACATTTTAAATTTAAACAAGAAGCAAATTTTAACTACACATTTTCTACCACTAGATATCCAAAACTTTGCTTATGCTTAAGATATTTTTCGATTAATACACAAAGTTTAAAATATGAGAAGTTTTACAGATTTGTTTATAACATATTTTAAATTACTTATGTTATTACTTTGCAATTCTATAATATATTTCTTTTTTATTGTGTTCTCTTTTGTTTTAACTAGAAACTCTTTTTTGCATTAATACTTAGTAAGTTAAAATCCTATACTTAGGGCATACTGGAAGTTTCTTAGTGATTTAATATATATCTAAGTTCTAAGTTAAATCTTAGTGATTTAACTTAGAACCAATTTAGGTCTTCAAGAATAACAATCTCCCACTTCCACAAGGATAGACCTATTTTCTTGATGGGTTTTTTCTTCCCTGTTTAAAATATTAAATGCAGATTTTATCATCAACTGACCATCACATCATTTATATGATTTAAAAAGACGGCCAATGATTGCCTGCCATTAAACTTACCTAGCATTAAATTATGTAACTACGCTCAGTGTCAGTTCTATTTATCTCTCCAATCATGATGTATCCATCAATTTCATGTATGCTTTTAAATATTAGTATAGGTAACAGCTGCTAGTTACCATAATGAATGAGGTTACCAGCAGCTGGGACTGCTAAAACTCAAACAGTGGTCCAGACTGTTTTTTTTTTCCAGTAACTGGGACCAGGTATATAAATTAATAAAACAATCTTTTGTTCAACCCAATACAATACATTTGAACAAAAAAAACAATTTCTTAAGTTTATTTTTTTATTGCAGTGTATGTTATTATAAGTTAAGAAACTTTCAGTATTCCTATGTATGTGTGTAACCTGTAGTAAGTTTAACTTCTTTTAGAGAGTGCTAAGTTTGTATTTAAACTTAAATTAGCTTTGCAACGAATAGACTATACGAAAGTAACCAACCGTCCTTTTTTCCTAGGACACATTTAAAAGTATCTGGAATATCTTCGATAGAGGATTTAAGTAGAGGTAGGACGATAGGAAATATTTTAAGCAGTCTCCTGGGTTTTTATGACGCCTTGATAAGATCATGTTGTTTTAAAATTCGCGCGGTGATTTTGCCGTTATTACATTACAAATTCGTGACTGTTTACATTGTGTATTAGCGCTAACTTTTTACCGAAAGACCTAACTTATCTCAAAAATATTAAATAGGAATACCACTTTTATAGCTGTACGTCAAATTTTTAGAGTAAATAATTTTTTACAATGTCCCGTATTTAACTGTATAATTCATTAATTAATAATCGCTTAGAACGCCTCGCATCGAATCGTCATATGCAAACGCTACCGGAAGCCGGATATATAAATATAGGGTAGGACACTTAAGTGGAAAAGTCATTGTAGTCATGTTTCAATGCTAAGTCAATATTCGGTTCGCCTTTATATCCTATATCTAAATCCAAAATAATATACAGAATGTTCGTTGCAACTCTAGTTGAAGTATCAGTTTTCCTTGCTGTCTTAATATAATTTTTAAAGACATCTAAGTGCTTACCTTTTTTTAATCTTAATACTCTACCCTACCCAGAGCATGATGGGGGGTTGGTTGAAACATTACAGTTTAAAGTGTCAACCTGTGGACTATTCAGACAACCCTGTAGCCACAAGAGTAAGTGAAGCAAAAGCTCCTCAACAAAACTAACAATCGTCCTCTGTAAATACTCATTGAGCAGAATGTTGTATATAGACTTGTTAGCAGGGACGCCTATTTGTAATATAGCCTTGGTAGTAAATATAACGCCGAGTGCAATCTCAGTCGGCATAATTCACTAACAATATATAAAGTTAGTTCGTTAGTTTTATTTTAAATATGTATGTAATCATAAAAATTATGATACAACAGTAAAAAGTCAACAATTAATACAAATCAAAGAACTAGCGAACTAGACTTTTAACCATATATCTATACAATTATCTGTCACAAAGTTGCATATAGCGTGGTGTTTAACAGATCGCTCACATGATGTGGGCATGTGACGTAGTCCGTGTAAATATTGGAATAACTAGGGTCAGGTGACGGCATATTGTTTCAGATCGGGGCATCTGGCTGGTTCACAGGCAGGTATAGCTATCAATGTCAACCAGTCGACCACTCCAAAAATCCACAAACAATGAGGGTGAATTACCATTGTTTATTAAATAACCAAATCCTAGGTCGCCTTTGTATGTAAATTTCCGCACCTCCCTTAATAGGCACTTGTCAGATTGCTTGTAATCTCGTATAGTGATCAGAACATCCGCGAAATGGATACCGCCGCACGATAAGTCGTGCGTATTCCAAATTTTGGGGTTAAAGAATGATATTTAAATCGATTTGATAGTATTTACGAACAATTTAATATTAATCATGTAAAATCTTCATTGTTTTCGATAACTGAAAGTCCTATTGCCTATTGCACCCTTGTTACACTTCCGACACTTCCCAACTGATTGCACTGCCCGGACCCCTCGATCTTTTACATGATCAATTAAACTGATTTAGTTGTAAGATCATTGACATTTCAAACTCTATAACAGACAACATTTTTAACATCACCAAAATTAACACTGCACCTGTTTCAAATATGTCATTTCAAGATGAAATCATTTGCATATACTTACGTACTACATTCATTACGGTGACGTTCAACATAACATTCGGTTTCATCTTCATTATCATATAATCACCATACTAAAATTAAGAATTCACAATAATTTTTTATCGTTTTTGATTGTGATTTTACTAAAGTAAGTAAAGTTTTAATCTATGTTAAACATTTCAGATGGTACATGCATGTTGGTGGTACTACTTTTCAAAGTTCACCGAATTCTTTGATACGGTAAGTGTCGTGTTCATATCATTAGCATTCATAATGAAGTTTCTGTTAACTAATTTATGTAAACAAATAGCTATATTAATTACTTTTCAGTTAGTAACTACAATTTTGTTACGTCTGTCACCACTTAATATATTAGAATTAATTAAGAAGTTGTGGTTTAAGTATATTTTAAGTGTTTAATTTTGACCAATAGAATATTCTGTGCAACAAACTATTTAAAAATTAATTGTATTAGCACTACCACAAACTATTACAAATTTTTCAATTATCATTAATTAACATGCAGTTAATTGTAACATGTTTATTTTACAAAGATATTGAAAATATTTACAGTAAACAAACTGTAATATTACTTTTTAATAATACCTGCATGGTACACAAATCCACTCCCCGAATATTACACAATTGTTCTCCCTACTAAGCAATGCAGATTATCTCAATAGCAAAAAGACAAAGTTACCCCTGCTATTAAAATTTTTCTCGATTTCTCATAATTAAAAATTATTAAATATATGACGTACTTTATCGTCGAGAGTTATTTGCCACACTTAAATAATTGTAATGGTTTGCTAGTAATGAATTTTATAGAAAATTGCGCGCTATACGCCATCGATTGGTAGGGACAGCCCACGCCCGTCTTGATGGAAACTTAATTTCGAGTTCCATGATAGTTGTATGAAATTCAATTATTTGCAATAAACCTGCAGAATATAAATAATGATATACTATTTATACTATGTCCGTACGCGTAGCATGACAAACTCGAGAAATGTTTTGTCTACACCAAGCATCAAAAAGACTTACACTTACGACGTTAGTGCACCGACGCAATCGCATGCGAATTCAAAACATTTTCGTGACTTTTTACACATTTTGAGAAATAATATTCGTAATATTCGAATAGTCGTCAAAAATCAGGACAGGTGACAACCCTGATAGCGAAACATGTACGTATCTGTGTAACGATTTTCGCAGTTAACTGCGAACCCGTACTGACAAGGACGCAGCTATTTTCATTGAGCTTATAATACGGTGAGACAAAGCATATGCATTACCATACAACTGACAACATTCTCAAATGTTTCCCATTCACATGCGATTGCGTCGGTGTACTAACGGAGTAAGCGCTCTGGTAACTTTTATACCACTCATACTTATCACTACTGAAAATGTTTTATGTTTCCGAACAGATCTTCTTTGTGTTAAGAAAGAAGTTCGACCATGTGTCTACCCTCCATGTGATCCACCACGGTGTGATGCCGATGTCCGTCTGGTTCGGTGTCAAGTTCACTCCGGGCGGTCACTCCACGTTCTTCGGCTTGCTCAACACCTTCGTGCACATAATTATGTATACCTACTACATGCTCGCCGCAATGGGACCACATATGAGGCCATACCTCTGGTGGAAGAAGTACCTTACCACGCTGCAGATGGTGAGGCGACACTTGTTTTTCGATTATTTTCTCGGCTATAACCTTTTTGGAGAGGGTTTGATGTCCTTCGTTCTAAGGTCTCAAACTTTTCTATATTATCTTGGGGCTGAGTTTAGTGGTACCTGTGTTGGTATCGGATTTCTATGAGTTCTAAAAGCTTATTTGTGATTTAATTTATTTATAAATAAAACCTTAAACATTATTGAACAGTTTTGCATTTTATAATAATTTATAAAAGATAAATTAGTAGATATTATTAATATGTTCAAGTTTTTTTTAAATCAAAAGTTTTATTACTAAACCCAAGTCTGCTTCAAAGCTAATATCGACCTTGATAGCACAGAGCCTGTTTCTAGTAAAAATGACGTAAATTAGTAGATATTATTAATATATTCAAGTTTTTTTAATAATAAAAAGTTTTTTAACTAAACCGAAGTCTCCTTCAAAGCTAATATCGACCTTGATAGCACAGAGCCTGTTTCTAGTAAAAGTGACGTAAATACTTTTGTTCCATTTTTAGGTTCAGTTTATTGGGATCATGGTGCACGCGTTCCAGCTGTTGTTCATTGAATGTGACTACCCACGAGCTTTCGTCTGGTGGATCGGCATGCATGCCGTTATGTTCTTCTTCCTCTTCAAAGATTTCTACAACCAGTCCTACTCTTCTAAATCTAAGGTAATTTTGACTCCTTTTATGCTGTCGTTAAATATAACAGACAAAGTAATACTAATAAAAAACATGAATATTTTTGACTAAGTAATTAATAGGTATTACTTGTTTAAGTATTATGTATACACAATGGCATATTAATATTAATTTTAGTAAAAAAAACTACTTGAATAAATCAATTGTCTGAAATTCAGAGACAATTTGTTTTCAGTATAATTTTTTCCTAAAAATATTTTAGACTTTATGATACAGACCATTTTTTTGTCTATTTTGTTAGAACAATAGGCGTAACACTATATTATTTGTTGGTACATCAGGAAATAGAATGTAAAAAACGTCCCCACTATAGTGGCTCAGGATGGTTAAGGAGGATGGGCCATGACCTTCTATGCTGGAAATGCGGATTGGAGGGAGAGAGAACAGTTGTTAATACCCTAAGGAATTATAAGGAAGGTCCCGGCTGCATTTGTAGTTGCAAATGCATCCTGGACCACCGGATTAACGTGCCTTTCGATACAAGTAGAATAAGATAGTAATTTTTTGGTCACCTAGCCCGTGAACGACCTTTGTAAAAGTTGCTTAACAACAATGATGGCAGATCGCGGCTTATCCACTACGCCACCAAGCTATTAAAAAACATTTTTTTCTCAATATGTGACTATAATTGACGGTCTCTATAGTGACTGATGATAACCATTATCATCATTTATCTCGTTTCCCAACTGAGTGAATATGGAATAGGTTAATGACATTACATCACCGATCATGGTTTATTGTTACGCAGAAAATATGCGAATGCGACCAAGGTTGTTACGTTTTGAGAAACAAATTCGTGACATTCAGAGTCATCAGGACAGGCATCAATCGGGACGGGTGGCAACCCTGAATGCGAAACATATGCGTATGTGTAATGACGTTTTTCGCAGATATTTGGTCGAGCTAATAAGAGAGCGAGACAAAGCACATGCGAAACATTACCGTACAACTGACAAGATTTCGCAAACGTTTCACATTCGCATGCGATTGCGTCGGTGTACTAACGACGTAAATCGTAAACATATCGACGCTGCAAAGCAAACACGTAGTAACCCGCAAAACCAAAATTGATCTTCAGAGCAGAAAAGCTTTTATTTTTTTTCGATAAATAATCCCTATAAACATCCATGGTAACAAATAAAGTGTTCCTTAGTCAATTTATACGGAAATAAGATATTTTTTTGGAAACATAAAGATTCCATTTCGGTTTTGCAGGTTACTACGTGTTTGCTTTCCAGCGTCGATATAAGGTTTAATTACTATGAAAATTGATTTATTACATTTAACTGTGCGAGCGCCGTAGCAATATGCGTTCGGCGACGGGACTATACATTGTTATATTGCAGGTCCGCGCTAAGTCACCCCAACCCGCAACGACAGAGATCAAAGACGTGCCATACAAGAACGGCGCGGTGAGGAACGGTTTCAGCAACGGTCACGCGGGCGCGGGCGCGGGGGCGTTCGCCCGCGCACGGCCAGTGCCCGCCGGCAACTGACCGCCGCTATTTGTGAATTGTGATTCATAGCCGACTGGTCAAGGGACTTTACCTGTGTTGCCAACCCCAATAATTACAAAACAACAGTTCATCGATAAAAAAAAACAGTAGGTTAAGTAAAAAGGGCATATTTCACACTGTATTCATATAATCAAAACAATCACATATATTATTAGTTATCAGATCAGATTATTATAATATTGATCATAAAATAAAAGATAGATGAAATGTAATAAAAAACTAAATTATTTTCCGATTTATTCCTCAATTGCCTCATCTACTCTACTTTTCTGACTCATTTTGCTATTTAAAATCATACATAGTTTTATTGGATTTCTTCCTGTGCCTTTCTGTGGGTATAAATGAGTGGCCGATTGGTTATTTCGGATTGTATTTCTATAGTGTAATAGGTGGCGCTGAAAGCTAGTTGAAAAACAGTAAAAATTAGTTTTAACAGTAGATTTGATGTTCTTACAATAAAAATGTGAAAACAGCAAATCTTTTGTTAAATCAATAGGGTTGGTAACACTGTACTGTTTTATTACTTATTTAATTCGCCGAGACGCGACCACGGTGCCCCGCGATCGCCGGTCCTAGAGTTATTAGCTGTAATGTGATTTTTTATCTAGTGTACATACGGTTAGGCGGTATCGACGGTGTAAATTTTATTATATCGATATATAATATATATATATATAATGTGTAGTTAGATTTGTGATCGCATAGCGTTTTATACTTTTAACCGTATGGCGACGCTTTTAGGAGTAAAAACGAATATGGTCATGTTAATTGTGAATCCTTTGTGGTACCGTTTCGCTTAGGTGCTCGTCTTTTCTCGATGTTACTGTACCTTGCCTGAGTTTTGAATTGTGTACTACGAAACTACTTAACATTATATTGCGACAGATGTAAATCAAATATTTATTTAAATGCTATCAATGAACTACTTCAGATCGATGCAATATTAGTTAAAGATGTGTTATATAATAAGTAACACGTTAATGTTTTAATGCAACATTTTTTGTTGTAGTATTAATCGATTTTACACTAGTATAATATTACTGTTTTTATTATATTTAAGTACAATTATTATTTTTATTTCTAAACATTGATTTTCAATGTAATTTAGAATATGACACTAAAGTGGTTGTGTTAATTATTTATTTTTGTTTAATTTAATATATTATTTAATACCAAAATTATTTATATATAAGATCAAATTAACGGGTTTTGTAGAATTAGCCATCGAAGTTCTTCCTTTATTTATAGTCTTCCGTTTTGTGTTTGTACTTATAATAGTATGGTGATGAAATACTGCAAAATGCTAAGACCTTTATCATACAAACAAAATGAAGCTAGCCACTTTTGTAAAAATTTATTTCATTCATATTGAAATTGGTTTGTGTACCTATTGTAATTTTTATACAAAGATATGCAAATAAATACATAATAAGAATAATAATTGCTTTTTATTCCTTTAGTGAAACATAAAACATCAGTACTAAAATGAAAAAACCATCTCACTTTTAATAAGATTTGAGTGACTGCGATACAAAAGCATTCAGAAGTTGCAGAAAGAGAAACGGAGCTAGTCGTCGGACGAATGCTATTTATTGGCTACTGATGCGTTTTCGCGTGTGCCCAAGTATATACGCTGCATGACTCAAAGCATTTGGCATATTAAAGTAGGTACCTATCCAACGTCATATTTAAAAAACAAAAATATCATAAACTGAAAATGTATATTTCATTAAGTAACAATAAAATCACTTCTAAATAACAAATATAATTAAAAATTGTATATCCTTACATTGCATACCACTAATAACAATAGATAATCAATTCCGTGACGCCTTTACTTAAATTATGTTTAACATTAGGCCAGAATATTATTTAACTCTATAACAAATAATTGCAGTCCCAGGCTTACTTGGCACATTTAAGTACTTTCATTAAGTCTTCACAAAAGAAAAAAAATTATTTTGCACAGCGGAATCCAAGGTTTCCAGCAGAACTATCTTCTGTATTATGAGATCGAGCAGAGCACCTATACCTGTAGCAATACGACTTGTGACATAAGTAGGAACCACCCTTTTTTACCTTTTCCTTTGGCTGAAAATATTAAATTATGCTCTAGTTTCGATTAATAGTTCACATCAACGTAAATAAAATAATTTTATCAACATGTATTCTTACGGATTCTGTTGACCATGAATCTTCAGTCCACTCCCATACATTTCCTGCCATATTATGAAGACCAAAACCATTTGCAGGAAAAAAGTGCACTGGGTTAGAGCCTATAAACCCATCTTTTACTGAATTGTGATGTGGAAAGGTGCCTTGCCAAATATTAGCCCTAGAATTCATAAAAACGATGATAGTATTGAAAATCATGCTTTTAGAGTTCCATTTCAAAAAAATGGATAAGATCACTTAGTTTTCTGTCTGTCTGTCCAAAACAAATTTATTTAGTCAAAATTAGATACACATATGCAAGTTGATGACCCAAAGGTACTTGGCAGGGCATAAATTAATTTTAATACAATGTTTTTAGGTGCTAATTATAAGATAAAAAAGTTTGGATGATATATTAAGTATGATAGAAAGGCTAATGAGCATATCTTACTCACTCTTGGTTGGTTATGCAGTATCTTACTTAACTATGCACATTTTTGTGATCTTAATATGAAAATTGTCTTAATGTCCCTCTTTCATGTAAGAAAAAATACATAGTGATACCCTAGCCCCTAAATCATCTTGTGTAAATTGATGATGCCTTATGAAACAAATGCAAATATAATTCATTTTAGTTGTATGATATTATAATTTTATCACAATTTATTTCAATTATTTTACTACAAATAATGTAGCTAAATAGGTTTAAGCTCATTAACTTGCAATACTATCCTCAAAATTGTATCACCCTATTTATAGCAAATAAATAATTTGAATTTGAAAAACTACACCTGTGAGCACAAAATGTTAAGAATAAGCAGAATGGTATCTAGAGACAAACAAACCAAGTTGAATTCCTGAATTCGCACAGATACATTGCTGAGGACACAAAAAATGTATGTATTAGAAATGATGGGTTTAATAAGAGGAGAACACTATAGCTCCATTGCAACTTAAGAGTCTACAAATGGCTCTTGTTACCATACTGCTTTATCTAACAAAGTATTGTGCTACTTATACCTATTGACAATATTTACATGTGCTTTTTATCTGGAAATAACTTGTCACCCCAAGGATACTTTGTGTTCTGCTTTCCACCTCTGCAAGCTGCTTCCCACTCTGCTTCGGTAGGTAAGCGAGCACCACGCCATAAACAATATGCCTTTGCATCTTTCCAAGATACATGTACTACTGGATGATCCATAATTTCTGAAATATATAAAAATTAAATATTTGGATACCAAAAAAGTTAAATGAGCTTTTAATAACAGAAATGTATTAATATTTTAAAATGACATTGGAGAAAGGCCATATTCAAAAAAAGATAATTGGTATATAGACTTTTAATTGATACCTGAAATGTTAGAATCTGGTCCATGAGGATGCTGCCAATCAGCACCATCTATTTTATACCACCATGGAGCTTGTACTACTCTGAAATCCTGAAGTTTCTCTCTAAGTGTATTATTGAGGAACAATGTAAATACAAAACTGTCTCCAAAGACCTCTGCTTCAGTCTTATAATTAGTTAACTTGACAAAATTATTGAAGTCTTTATTAGATACTTCAAATTTATCTAAGTAAAAACTTTTAATATTCGTAGTTTTCTTCGGTCCTTCCCCGTCAGTTTCTATAACTACATCATCTGTACCCACTTGATAATCACCTGAAGGAATAAGCACCATACTCATGAGGTCTTTTTCATTTATGTGCCCATTTTCAGGTGATTTATTACACTGATCAAAATTTTCATTGGCATCTTTGGAATAAATGTTTACAGAGCGACGTTCAACATTGACACCGCAACCACAATTACTTTCTTCATTGTAAACAATAGCAAATTGAAGTACCAACGTTACATATATCAATAAAACCATTTTTTCATTTTGTTAAACTGTGCCTAATAAGAGTAATAAGTCCATACCCATAGATCGTAATATCGTAATAAACGCGATTTATCTCTAAAAACCACTAAATAACCTGCTATCGCTAAAACCAAAGAGAATTTAAACAAACAAACACTACCTCATAAATAGATAATCAGGGTGACCGTTTCAAAAATGTTAAAACTCCACGACACTATCAAAAAACCTGCCAGCAGTCTCCAAAAAGTGCCAAAAACACAGAACACTTTTAGCCAAAAATATGTCATCATATTTTTGCGTACTTAAGAATAGGTATAGTGCTATACAAAATAGTAGTAAAAATAAATGACGGCGCACAGTGTCCCGAAAAAATAAAACATGGACATTGAAGCTACAGCGACGAAAATTTTTTTGAACGTTGATACAGTGATAACATATAAGGCAAAAAAATATTATTAACCTGACACATATACTTTTCGGTAAAAAAAATATTTAGTTTTTTTTTGTATGGGAGAAATTACATTTTATTGATTTTCTCAAAAAATTTAAGCGATGTCAAGATGGCAATCACATATGTGACAAAACTAATTATTCTGAGTATTTCATTCGAAGAAACTTACTGCCTATCGCTGCGTACTTCCGAGATTTTCGAGGTAGAAGAAACATTTTTTTTTTTATTTTATATGTGCCGTTTTTCGAATCTTAAAATAACTTTAGCACTTATAATGTACGCCAATTATATTCTTTTGTCAAATACATAAAAAAAAATGTTCTGAAGCGGTGGGTCTCACTGTCACTTAAACCTCAGACAGGCAGGCAGGCAGGAGGATCGGGTAGAAGCAGTTAAACATCCTTTTATATACGACCTTTCAGAACGAGAAGTACCATTAGTTATGGAAAACACTATTAAGAGGAAGACAAAAAATTCAAATTATTCATATTCACTTCGAAAGATACATAAATAATTTTAGGTTAAAAGATTAATGTTTGGATCACTGTTTTCTTTTTCCTCGTTTTCCACTGAAAGTAATTCATTATTCAAGATCAACGCACTAGCCTCTGGAAAAAGTTTTTTATGTAAGCGATCAAACTTTGGCTTCATATGTGTGATATAAGGATCTGAGCTAATTAGAAAATTGTGAATTATGTCCAAATTAGTCTCAGTTCTACCGATTTTTCTTGTATGTGCCATTCTAACGTTCCGGAAATCCTTATTCCTTGCTTCGGAGGCTTCTTCTGAAAGCATGCCTATCGGAATAAAGGAGAAAGATTCACAAATGTCAGCACCGTGTATCAGCAATTTATGTATACTTGAGGGCATATAATACCATGAATATAAGTTTACTTACATAGAGCACTGCTGTTTCTTTACAATATTCTCTCAAAAGGCCTGTGTCAATCAATTGCCCAGATGAAATGACTTGTAAGATAACGGCAAATCTTTTAATTAAATCAGGGTGAATACCCGTTATTTCGGCAGATATTTCAAAATTTTCAAAAAACCTTCGTGCGGTGTTACCGTCATTGGTTGTGCCAAATCCCTGTTTCACTATGTCAATCAATAAACCAGTTCTTTCCCTGAATTCTTCTTGGGTTATAGTTTTTTTATTTCTTTTAACAATTTATCGTCATTTCGTGCCGACCACTTTTTAAAATCTAAATTGTAGGAAATGTGTAAAATACATTCCATGCATCTTATCCACATATGGAGCGAAGACAAACCATATTTATACATATCATCTCTGATGGGTCTTTTGGATACATAGTCCAAGTCATTCATTTTACTAGGTGGAGTATTACAAATATTACAAACAGCTGCAGAAGAAGTGTTGGAAAACATAAAATTTTAAATTATAATAATCCAAAGACTCTAAAAAAATAACAAAAACAAGTTACTATTAGTATTTATCCAAGCGTACAGAAAACGAAACACGTCTAATCGCAATCACATTTAGCTGTATACTGACGTGTGCGAGTGCGTGTCATAATACGTCATGAAAGGCGGCCATATTGTTATTCCGGCAAACTCGCGTCGAAGCTTCATATTTCTGGCCAGCGGACCTATAATCCATAAAAATGTAGCATTTTGAATGTAAAAACAAGATGTTTTTGAATATATACTTAACAGTGGTGTGTAATCTGCGTAATTATTACTAAACAGTCCATTTTAAATCTCATTTTCATATATTTAACTCGTACAAAACTATAATTTGAATTTACAAAATACATGAATTTTGATGCTTATTATCTTCAAAGTACGCAGCGATAGGCAGTAAGTTTCTTCGAATGAAATACTCAGAATAATTAGTTTTGTCACATATGTGATTGCCATCTTGACATCGCTTAAATTTTTTGAGAAAATCAATAAAATGTAATTTCTCCCATACAAAAAAATACGAAATATTTTTTTTACCGAAAAGTATATGTGTCAGGGTAATAATATATTTTTGCCTTATATTTTATCACTATATCAACGTTCAAAAAAATTTTCGTCGCTGTAGCTTCAATGTCCATGTTTTATTTTTTCGGGACCACTGTGCGGCGCCACTGCCGTTAAATAAATATGGCAAAATTTTTCATAGAAATCCTTATGTCACGTTGACAATGGCGCATTTGTATGGAGCCTCTTTTGTTACTAGGAAATATAATTCCCATTTATTCAGTTTTCTACTCTTTTATATCAAACTGTACATACACGAATAAATATAATACCAAGATATTACTTTATTATAATAGAAACGCGATTGAAAAATTGTTTCATTTGTGGATAGTGCGCGTGAATATATAAGAAATCAATATTAATAGATTTATTGGTGTGAGTTTCTTATATAAAAACTCTGACAAGTTGCAGAACAGTTAGTATGGTAACCTTCCGTGCAACTCAATGACAATGAAAAAAACAAAACATTATCTGTTAATATTTTATTCACTGTTGCCTATCTAAATAACAACTTATAAAAAAAAGAAAACACCAAGAAATAAAATGTAAACTTAAATCCTTTACGAATGATCACAGTGCTCAAAGGCGGTGGCGGAATTCTGCAAAAAAAAAGATAAATGTTTATAGACTATAATTTATCTATCAAACGATGAGAGATTTTATTCAAACACGCAAGCACACAAGTGCTTTAATGACCTATACAGGAAAATATCTCGGCTCGAAGGACCATGTGTAAGGCCTGACACTAAAGGAAAACCAGATGAAATACTTATTAGATGCTTTTATTTATTGACTCGCTAATTATATAATCATGTGTGGGGGCAAATATCACGCTGCAAGTAAATCAAGTCAACACCATAGTATACATTGCAAAATACCTGCGACAATTTACGATTTTTTATAGTCGTTAAAAATGCACCACGACCGACTGTAGTTAATACAAAGTAAGTACCTATAATAATATACTAGAGAAAGATTTCGACTCCAGTTAAGTAAGCCACTATTTTTCAACAAAAATGTTATTATTGAAAAATTACTACTTAGATACCAACCAATTATATAATTATAATCTTTAATTCATTCTAATCTAGGTACTGAGGACTCCTCACCTTTTAAAGTTTTAATTAATTTATTTGAGTTATCATTTTGTTGATCATACTTAAAATCTAGCCGCTGAAAATAAGAAATTATTCCGTTATTTAGTAGGTAGTAATACATTTTAACTACATTCGCTACTTAACTACTTTTATAATTACAATAGCTCTGTTTCTACAGCGGACTTATTGACACATGTACTAAACAACTTTCTCAATAGCTATATGATAAACTTTTTAAGTAACTATTATTTTTATAACTAATCCTTTATTTAACGAGAAACAAAGGCACGCTAAAATACGCCAAATCTAAAGATACAGGATACAACTATATATATGTACTTAGTACCTACTTTGGGTTCAGAATTTATAAATGTGCAAAACTATATGAGAAAACGATGTCTATATAGGGTAGTGGAACCAAAACATGAACGCCCCCCATTTTTTTTCGCTTATGGCAACATTTTCATATCCCGCCCTCATAAAAACATCGACAGTCAAGTCACGCGCAAAGATTACCATATGTCACGCGTCAGGCGCCCTTGTGATATGTAGTTTTGTGTTTCCAAAGCCATAACACTAGTTAATTGACTATGATGTTTTGTAGGAAAATGATTATTCTCATCCTAGACGAAATTACGAATATCTTTTCTTCTGCTTGGAAAGATGCTTACTTTACTCCATTTCTTAAAAAATCCCAACCACAATCCTTTTCAGACTATAGACCGATTTCCATACCACCATTCCTCTCTAAAGTTCTGGAACGCCTCATTCACAACTTTCCTTATCTTTACTTTCCTCTTCAAAAATCATCTCCTAAATCCTTATCAATCAGGTTTCCGTGCTGGTCATAGTACCACCACTGCACTAGTAAATGTTACAGATGATATGAGGTCAGGAATGGAACATGGAAAAGTAACGGTTCTTCGCCTATTAGATTTCAGTAACGCGTTTAATACCGTTGACTTTGATATTTTGCTTGGCTTATTACATATCTCCAGCAGTGATTGAATTGTTTCATAGTTACCTGTGTGGACGCCGTCAGCGAATACGCATTGAGGATTCCTTTTCCACTTGGTGCAACATTTCTGCCGGGGTGCCGCAGGGTGGCGTAGTGGATTAGCGCCGCGGCCCGTGATCGTAGTCGTAAAGCAACTTTCACAAGGGTCGGTCACGGGATGGGTGACCAAAAAATTATTATCTCGAGCTACTCCGTGCTTCGGAAGGCACGTTAAGCCGTTGGTCCCGGCTGCATTTGCAGTCGTTAACACCCTCCAATCCGCATTGGGCCAGCGTGGAGGGTCATGGCCCATCCTCCTTAACCATCCATAAGGAAGGCCTGAGCCCCTGCAGTGGGGACGTAAAAGGGCTGATGATGAATGATGTGCCGCAGGGTGGCGTTCTATCTCCATTACTCTACGCTATATTTATTAGTTCAATTTCACGACAACTAGTTTCATCCTATCACCTTTATGCAGATGATCTACAAATTTATTCCCAAGCTACTCCTGACCAACTTACTTTCGCCATCAATACTGTAAACCGTGACCTTGAGTTTGTCTGTGATTGGAGTAAATGTTACGGAATAAAAGTTAATCCTTCAAAAACTCAAGTCATGGTAGTTGGCAGCCCCGTAATTACTAATAAAATTGACTGGTCATGTTTACCTGCGATTTCATTTG